CCAGGTTAGGTCCAAAGCTCAGGGTGCCTCCAGGAAACGCCTTTGACGCTTCCATTCCAACGGTCTCGGCAGTCCAGATGGAGACGCCATGTTTCCCGGGTCCCTCCCCAAGACTGCACGCCCCTACCAACCCAGTTGGCTTACCTGAATGTTCCTCCCCCACCGCGCCTCATAGTTTTATTAACAGGTTACAAGGTTTTTACACTTCTTGGGCTAACATCACCACCGACAACTGGGTGCTAGCAATCATCAAGGGGGGTTATTCCATTGAATTTGAATACATCCCTCCAGTGGGAAATATTAAGAGTACTGCTCCTTCAGAAGTTCTGTTATGTGAAATAAATACCCTTCTGCAGAAAGGTGCTATTTCCCCAGTTCCAAGTTCTATGCTTCCCCTCTGTTTTTTCTCAAGATACTTTGTGGTTACAAAACGTGGTGGCGGATATAGAGCAATTATGGACTTGAGGGATCTCAATAAAGCAATTTCACCGAAAAAGTTTCGTATGGTGACACTTTCTTCAATCATGCCCCTCATCCCACAAGATGCATGGTTTGCTACCATAGACTTGCGAGATGCGTACTTCCATATATCTATAGCCCCCCACCATCGGAGATTCCTAACATTCCTGGTGGGGAGCAGAGCCTTCCATTATAATGTCCTCCCGTTTGGACTCAGTACTGCTCCCAGGGTATTCACGAAATGCATGGCAGTAGTGGTAGCTCACCTACGAACCCAGGGAATAGTTGTGCACCCCTACATTGATGATTGGATTATTATTGGAAACTCATACTTTCAGGTGCAAAAACATGTACATATTACTTTGTGTCTCCTCCAGTCCCTGGGTCTGATCGTCAACGTGGAGAAATCTTCTCTGACCCCATCCCGGAGCATCCTGTTCATCGGAGCGTTCCTCGATGCAGTGACGCGCAGGGCCTACCTCCCAGCGGAACGTTTTTCCACTCTGCAGTTACAGGTGAAATCAGCCCTGGATTCATCCAGGGTATCAGCCAAACAAATCCAAACCTTGCTGGGTTACATGGCCTCCACTACTTCTGTAACCCCTTTTGCACGGTTACGTATGCGCCCTCTCCAGTCTTGGTTTGGCCATGTTTTCAATCCTCTTACGGACTGCCCACGGCTCAAGTTCACGTTACCGGAGGAGATCTGCAGATCCCTGACATGGTGGTTACTCCCCCAGTTTGTCTGTTCGGGCCTACCATTTCAAATGCCCTACCCCACCAGTGTAATCACAACGGATTCCTCTCTGATGGGTTGGGGCGCCCATGTGCAGGGACTGACCGCGCAGGGGAAGTGGTCCCCAGAGGAGTCGCTCCTTCACATAAACGTTCTCGAGCTCATGGCCGTAGAAAGAGCGTTAAAGTCATTCGAAAAACTCATCTTAGGTCAAGCTGTTCAAATCCTGACGGACAACACAACCGTCATGTTTTATCTAAACAAGCAAGGGGGCACTCATTCTACCCCATTACTTCAGATAACAATGCGTGTTTGGGAATGGTGCATCCAGAGGCAGATATACTTACACGCCACCCATCTCCCGGGTCAGGAGAATTTTCTGGCGGATGCACTCAGCAGAAATCCGCTGGGCCATCACGAATGGTCCCTCCATCCTCGGGAAGTCACCAAGTTATTCCAACTGTGGGGTCATCCACTGATAGACCTCTTTGCCACCAGGGAAAACAGAAAGTGCAAAATGTTCTGTTCGAGACTCCCAGCCCCCAGGGATCAGGAATGTCTAGGGGATGCATTCCTCAGGGAGTGGGGGGGAGGCCTAGCTTACGCATTCCCTCCCTTCCCTCTTCTCCTACGGGTGGTAGCGAAGTTACAAAGGGACTACGCTTGGTGCATATTGATTACTCCATGGTGGCCTCGGCAGCAGTGGTTCGCCCCTCTATTGCAACTGTCGAGAGGGAACCACTTGAGGTTAGACAACAAGATCGATCTCTTAACGTCCCAACAGGGTCAGGTGCTGTACCCGGACGTCCACCTTCTGAAACTAACGGCTTGGCTGGTCTTGCCTCAGGGACAGATTTGACGTCAGGTCTCCCACAAAATGTAAAGTGTATTATCGATGCGGCCCATAGGCCCTCTACTAAAAGGTCATATTTATTCAAATGGACTCGATTCAGGGATTTCGCCAGACAAAAGGGCCATGAACCGGAGACCGCACCCATCTCTATAGTGTTAGATTTTCTATCATCGCTTTTCGATGCAGGCCTCTCTAACTCTTCCCTTAAATGTTATCTGGCGGCCATTTCCTGGTTTAGGAGAAAAGTGGGCCAGCCATCCTGCTTCGCAGACCCACTAGTGAAATGGTTTTTAAAGGGCATAGGGAATATTAGGCCGGCGGTGGCCCCAATTGCTCCTTCTTGGAGTTTGGAATTGGTCCTCTCAGCTCTAATGAGACCTCCTTTCGAGCCCATGGCTACGTCAGAGTTAGGGCCACTTACGTGGAAGGTTGTCTTTCTAGTAGCTGTAACGTCAGCTAGACGAGCCAGTGAGCTGTGTGCATTTAGGGTAGACCCACCTTATCTGAAATTTCACAAGGATAAAGTGGTTCTCCGTACGGACATAGCTTTTCTACCTAAAGTGGCCACGAAGTTCCATATGTCCCAGGAGGTGGTTTTACCAGCTTTCTTTCAAAACCCAGAGACTCCAATGGAGAGAGGTTTGCATTCTCTGGATGTAAGACGGGCCTTGGCCTTCTATGTACAGAGAACTGCTGATTTTAGACAATCCCCTAGATTGTTTGTCAAGTACAGGAAGGATACTAGGGGTTCCCCAGTTTCTTCCCAGAGGCTGTCTGCATGGATTGTCTCCGCTATCCGTACTTCTTATAGGATGTCGGGCAAGGACTTGCCTGGACAGGTGAAGGGTCACTCGACTAGAGCTGTGGCAGCTTCTACGGCATTTATGAAGGGTATCCCTTTGGAAATGATCTGTAAGGCTGCTATATGGGCTTCTCCTTCCACTTTCGTGTCACATTACAAATTGGACTCGGTGTCTAGAGGAGAGGCCAACTTTGGTAGAGCGGTGCTTTTTTCGGCAGTGGCATGAGCCCGCCATCCGTTACATAGCTCGCTAGTCTACCACAATGTGCGATTCACAGTTAACTACGACAGGAAATGGAAGGTTGCTTACCTGTAACCGTGGTTTCCTGAGTAGTTACCTGTGAATTCGCACATACCCGCCCTTCCTCCCCTCGAGTATCATGCCACTTCCTCCACTTGCTTTACGGCGAAAGAGGATTGAGGGCGGGCTCCACTTAGGGGCATTATATACTCGGGGAGGGGGGGTGGAGCCCTGAGGGGGATACAATTCTTTTAAGATTTTCTAGAAGGTTCCGATGCTGGCCTGCTTGGGCGCAGGAATACCACAATGTGCGATTCACAGTTAACTACGACAGGAAACATATCTCCTTCTACATCCCGCCTAGGAATTTAAGATCTTCTGGAGGGGCCCTGCTCTCGACCCCGCCTTTGTCACAAACGAGACTGGCGGGGACGAGGGACAGGGCCTTCTCGGTGGTGGCCCCCCGCCTGTGGAATTCACTCCCCGGGGAAATTAGATCATCGTCATCCCTCCTCTCTTTCAGAAGGAAATTAAAAACATGGATATGGGACCAGGCCTTTGGGTAATCTGGCAGACTGACAATGGACAATGATGACTAAAGCTTTGGAAACGGACTGTGATAAGCGGAATGAATTTATTAATTACGGACTTGGCAAAACGATGGCCACCAGGCTGGCTTTTTATTGTATTTTTATTGTATTAATGTAATGTTTTAATTGGTATAATTATTGTTATGATGTATTTTATTATGTGAATTGTAGGCATCAACCCCTTAGGGGGTTGAGAAGGGCGGGGTAGAAGTACCCGAAATAAATAAATAAATAAATGATAACAATAATTGGGAGTAAAATAATAAATGTAATAATAGTAGAGTAAAATAATGTAAATGTAATAACAATTGTAATGAATTGTTCAATTATAATATGAGTTTTTGTAAATGTTTATTAAAGGAATATATATGGCAAGCAGGCCTGTTTAAACTGTAGCTGCTTGTTGGCTGCGTTGCCATAGCAACGTAGTTTGCAAGAGAAATGTATCCACCCAGAGCAGGAGCCAAAGGGGGTGGAGCTAACTGTCAACTGTTATTGGGGGCAGGGGTGGGCTAGAAAAAGAGAGGTCCCTCCTGCCACACCAACGGCCTTGGCCTATACAACAACAACAACAATAATAATAAGGTAAAGGTAGTCCCCTGACATTAAGTCCAGTCATGTCTGACTCTGGGGTGTGGTGCTCATCTCCATTTCTAAGCCGAAGAGCCAGCGTTGTCCGTAGACACCTCCAAGGTCATGTGGCCGGCATGACTGCATGGAGCGCCGTTACCTTCCCGCCGGAGCGGTACCTATTGATCTACTCACATTTGCATGTTTTCAAACTGCTAGGTTGGCAGAAGCTAGGGCTGACAGCGGAAGCTCACGCCGCTCCCCGGAATCGAACCTGCGACCTTTCGATCAACAAGCTCAGCAGCTCAGTGCTTTAACTCACTGCGCCACCAGGGGCTCCAACAATAATACATAGAGTAAAATAATAAATGTAATAAAAACAATAACAATAACAGAGTAAAATAATAAATAACCTTGATTTGAGTATATGTGGGAGGGGGGGGGAGGGGGGCTTTTTTAGCCTAAAATTGATCTGAAAAACTCATACTTGAGCATATACAGTATTATTATTATCATTATAAAAACAGATGAGTAAATTCTTTGGTGAAATACAAAGTTTGAAGCAGATATCCACTAGCACTAAAAACTAACATTTTGAACATGCATAAAAAGTAGACATAACCACAATGTTCCTGCTCTCAACCACAGTAGCATTGGCTAAATATCCATAAAGTGCATAAAGTTCATTTGAATCTTTTTTTTTTCCAAGGAAAGAGCTGTTGCTGTTTCCACCCCGGAGGCCCTCTTACCTTGAGCCTCTGGAACTGTTGTTGCCCCTGGACTGGAGCCGCTGGGGGCGTGGGGTGGGCATGGCTCTGCACCACTTGGCTCCCGTGGGGCTGGACCGGCGTGGGGTGGTGGTGCCCGCTGTGGACTGAGGCCAGAGCGGGGCCGTGGCTGCTGGAACTCTGCGTTACGGCGGATACCTGCAAAGAGGAGTCAAACATAGTAGCAAAGCCTTTGAAGGCTTTTTGTTGGCCTTCCGTCACCATGGATTTTCCATTTTTGAAGGCTGATACGACCCTCTAGGAAAATAAATTTGACACTCCTAGGTATTTTGAATTACAAAAATGTGAGTCAAGTATGGAATGGGTTAAATGGATGCAATGACTCAGCAAACGCTGCTGTTCTATACAAACAGGTGTGCCTGTAGCTTAGTAGCTGTCAATCTGAGGTAAACCTCAGTGAGAGAAAGTTCTGAGTCTTTGAGAAGGTCTCATAGTGTGAAGTAGGCCTTATGAGAGAAACCTTGGTATGAGAAAGTGGGGGTATTAGAGTCTCTCAATATCCAAATGCCTCTGTTAGTAAGCCTCAGTGTGAGGTAAACCTCAGTGTGAGGTAAACCTCAGTGTGAGGGCTCAGTGTGTTACTAAGATAAAAGATAAGACAAGCTCCATCACTATTCTCCTTCCACAGGGACCTGAAAATCTAATGGTTCCAACAGGCCTTTGAAAATTATTAGCCCCAAGCCTTACCCTGGGCATCAGCTAGGGCCCTCCTCTGCACTTTATCCACGTCCCTGGCCCCTATACTACCCTGTTGCACTTGGCTTTTAAAGTCTCTTCTGCTGTGTTTTTCAACATTTTTATGAGTGATGGTCACTCATTGGCCTGATACGTGTATTGTGTCCAAATTTGGTGTCAATTTGTCCAGTGGTTTTTGAGTTATGTCAATCCTACAAACGAACATTGCATTTTTATTTCTATAGATTCACTAGGTATTTTTAATTACAAAAATGTGAGTCAAGCACCAAAAGGGTTAAATAGATGCAATGACTCAGCAAAAGCTGCTGTTCTATACAAGCAGGTGTGCCAGTAGCTTAGTAGCCGTCAATCTGAGGTAAACCTCAGTGGGAGAAAGTTCTGAGTCTTTGAGAAGGTCTCACAGTGTGAGGTAGGCCTTGGTCTATGAGAGAAACCTCGGTATGAAAAAGTGGGGGTATTAGAGTCTCTCAATATACAAATGCCTCTGTTAGTAGGCCTCAGTGTGAGGTAAACCTCAGTGTGAGGTAAACCTCAGTGTGAGGACTCAGTGTGTTACTAAGATAAAAGATAAGACAAGCCCCATCACTATTCTCCTTCCGCAGGGACCTGAAAATCTAGTGGTTCCAACAGGCCTTTGAAAATGATTAGCCCCAAGCCCTACCCTGGCCATCAGCTAGGACCCTCCTCTGCACCTTATCCACTTCCCCGGCCCTAGGCTACTTCATTGCACTAGCCCTGGCCCAGCCCTCTCATAGCTGTCTATTAGGGCTGGGCAACCACGGAAAAATTTGTTTCTAAACTCGATTCGTTTTTAGGGGATTTTTGCGTTTCGATTTTTAAAAGAATTCCGAAATTTTTCTTTAGAAAAGTTCGAAATTTATGAAATTTTGGAAATTACGAAACAATTACGAAACAATTTCGAATTGATTCGTTAATGGCGGACGCGACCGGCAATACGCTAAAAAAACCTCCAAATGGGACAGGGGGAACTTCTGAAGCTTCCCTCTCCCTCTGTTGTTGACTGTTGGTGTGATAATTATATATTTTTTTCACTGATAAAACAAACAACAACTATAAAACTTGCACCAGACATGCGGAAATAATAACGAAACGATTTCGAAACAATTACGAATCGATTTCGGGACAATTACGAAACAATTACGAAACAAATTGAAAAATTCGTTTCGATTTTTAGTTGCTCCTGAATGGTTCAATATCGCTTCGTTATCAAAAAAATAACGAATTAATAACGAATTACGAAATTAACGAACGAAACCGCCCAGCCCTACTGTCTATGGCCACTTTGAAATCCCGGCCATTGGTAGTTCAAATCTTGCCCGATGGAATAAGACTGGAAATGTGTGTGGCTGTTTTAATAGTATTGTGATTATTTTTAAAGGTTATTTGTACAATTTTGTGTTGGCAATTGAATGCTTTGCCCTATGCTGGAACCTGCCCTGAGTCCCCTCGGGGAGACAGAGTGGTATACAATTTTTTTTCCATTATTATTATGATTAGTTGTAGTAGGCCTCAGTGTTAGTAGGCCTCAGTGTGTGAAAGATCTGGTGTGAGCAGGCTCTGGTGAGAGAGAAAAAAAGAACTCCTGTGTAAGTTTGGTGTGAGAGGAAGTTCGGTGAGGGCGTGGAAGCAAAGAAGGAAGTATAAAGAACTTTATTTGTGTCATGGAAATCATGTTATCTATATAAATAAAAATGTAATGTTCGTTTGTGGGATTAACATAACTCAAAAACCACTGGACAAATTGACACCAAATTTGGACACAAGACACCTAAACAGTTCAACGAGTGACCATCACTCATAAAAACACTGAAAAACACAGCAGGAGGGACTTAAAAAGCCACCCCTCCCCAAATACATTACAATGCATGTGCAAAACCATATATATATATATATATATATATATATATACACACACACACACACACACACACACACACACACACACACACACACACACACACATATATGCACATATACACCCAAAGCACAGACAAAGAAAGGGGGAAGGAAGGAAGGATGGAAAGAAGGAGAGGAGGGAGAGAAAGAGGGAAATAAGAAGGGAAGAGAAAGAAAGAAAGAAAGAAAGAAAGAAAGAAAGAAAGAAAGAAAGAAAGGTAGAGAAGGAAGGAGGGAGAGAAAGAGGGAAGGAGAGAAGAAGGAAAGAAGAAGGAGGAGAAAGGAAGGAGAGAAGGGGGAAAGAAAGAAGGGAAAGAGGAGGGAAGAAAGAAGGAAGGGTGGGAAGGAGGGAGGGAAAGAGGAAAAGGAGGGAAGGGAAAAAGAGAAAGGAGGAGAGAAAGAAGGAGAGAAGGAGGGAAAGAAGGGAGGAGAGGAGAAGGAAAGAAAGAGTAGAGAGAGGAAGGAAGGAGAGAGGAAGAGAAAGAGGGAGAGAAGAGGAAAGAAGGAGGGGAGAGAGGAGGAAAGAAAGAAGAGAGAAAGGAGAGGAAGGGGAAGGAAGGAAGGAAGGAAGGAAGGAAGGAAGGAAGAGAAGGGGAGAGAGAAGGGAAGGAGGAAGAAAGAGGAAAGAGGAGGAAGAGAGAAAAAAGGAGAGAAGGGAGAAGGAGGGAAGGAGAAAGAAGGGTAGAGAAGGAAGAAGAGAGAAGGAGGAAAGAAAAGAAGGAGGGAAGGATGAAGAAGAATGGCAATGAGTTCTCTTATTATCAGGGAATGAAAAAAAAAAAGAGGAAAGAAAAGGGAGAAGAGGAGAGAACGAAAGAGAGAAAGAGGGAGGAAGGAAGGAAAGAGACAAGGAAGGATGGAACCAAAGAGCAAAGGAAGCGAGAAAAGAAACAGGTAGAGAAGGAAGAAAGAAGAAGGGGAAAAAAAGAGGGAAGGAAGGAAAGAGGGAGGGAGGGAAGGTTGCCCACAGCAACGCATGGCAGGTACAGCTAGTTTCGCTATAAATAAATAAAAACCCTATAACATTGGCCTGTGTGTTTTTGTTCTTTTTATCACTTCTGGCTCATGCTGCTGCTAAGAAGTTACTCTGCTGTGCAATTACGAGGAAGGTCTTTTGTTTATAAGCCCACTCACCCAACATAGCTGACCAGCTACATTTACGGGCTTAGCTTTTGCAGGATTGATTGTTTTTGGATATGATTAACATAGTCCCTTTATAGCAGTGGTACATTTTGGTTTGCCAGTTTGACTGGACCTCTTTGGTGTGGGAGATAATTTAAGATAATTAAAGATTATTTGTCAGGTTTTACAATGTATTGTAATGTAATATAGCTGAGTCATGGACTGCTAATAGGCTTCTATTAGAAATGCTGAGTCATGCATTAACTGTATATAGGGAATCATTTGGGGAATGTGTTCTGGCCTAGTCCAGGTGATTGTGAATGATGCAATCCTGGGTCTGAGTTAAGTTAATGAGTTGGGAACCAATCAGAGATTGCTATGTGTAATTGTATAGAATTGTATATAAGGAAGTCATGTACAGTGTATTCTCTCTCCTTGTGCTGTGATGTTGTTCGTCGAAGGCTATATGTATTTAAAAGAACCTGTCTGCTAAGACAAGATATAACTGTATGCTGTGGTTCTCAACCTGGGGGTCGGGACCCCTGAGGGTTGCGAAGGGGTGTCAGAGGGGTAGCCAAAGACCATCAGAAAACACAGTATTTTCTGTTGGTCATGGGGTCTCTGTGTGGGAAGTTTGGCCCAATTCTATCATTGTTGGGGTTCAGAATGCTCCTTGATTGTAGGTGAACTATAAATCCCAGCAAGTACAACTCCCAAATCTCAAGGTCTATTTTCCCAAAACCCCATGAGTGTTCACATTTGGGCATATGGAATATCCGTGCCAAGTTTGGTCCAGGTCCATCATTGTTGGAGTCTAGAGTGCTCTCTGGATATAGGCGAACTTCAACTCCCAAACTCAAGGTCAATGCCCACCAAACTCTTCCAGAATTTTCTGTTGGTCATGGGAGTTCTTTGTGCCAATTTTGGTTCAATTCCATTGTTGGTGGGGTTCAGAATGCTCTTTGTTTACAGGCTAACTATAAATCCCAGCAACTACAACTCCCAAATGGCAAAATCAATCCCCCCGCCAACCCCACCAGTATTCAAATTTGGGCATACTGGGTATTTGTGCCAAATTTGCTCCAGTGAATGAAAATACGTCCTGCAGATCATTATTTACATGGCGATTCATAATGTTAGGGTTATGGTTGGGGGTCACCACAACATGAGGAACTGTATTAAGGGGTCACGGCATTAGGAAGGTTGAGAACCACTGTGCTGTGGTAAGTTTGTAATGTCATCTAGACTGGGGGAAAACAATAGTAAAACTGACAATGGCCGGGCATGTGCTCAAGTGTGTGTAAAAGAGTTCCAGAGTGACTGCAGTTTGTGGGAGCAATTGACTGAAAATACTGTGCAGGAAGAAGCTACTGGAAAGCGCTGAAGTTGTGCAACTGATCTGCTGCTGAATTGTGAAGTCAATCTCAATTTTATATTATTATTGTTTTTATATTATTATTATTATTATTTTATTTTATTAAAGATTATTATTATTATTATTATTATTATCATCATCATCACTTTGCAAGGGCTCATGTACTGGTAATCCCAATGAATGTGAAGGGGAGCATGAAGGCACAACACGACAGCCCCACCTGGTAGCTCGGGGTGACCGAGTACTGGATCCCCGTGGCAGACTGCATGGTCTCCGAGACGGACTCATAGACGGGCGGCGCTGGAGCAAGGACCCGGTGCTGGTGTTGGAAGGGCTCCGTGTTGCTGGCGATGCGCCTCTGCTGCGACGCATAGACAGGCGACTCCTGTTCATCCAAGCGCCGCTTCATTCTGAATTCATGCTCAGGAAAGCCCTACAATATCTGTCAAGACAAGGGGGAAACAAGAGGTTCATCAGGAACAATATCCGGGCCTCTTAGTCAAGAACACAAAGATAGGTAAGAAGAAGCCTTCTGAATGCATTGGCAGGTGTTTTGGACTACAACTCCCACAATTCCTAAGAGCCCAAACACTGCCAATGTCCTTCCCAAAGACTATAGCCCACCACCCAAGGAATGCATTCATTTGGGGATAATGTCAAACTTCTTGTGTTTGCTCCACCACAGGCAGGCATCCCAGGGTTCCTTGTGTGGAATTTGCAAGATCCTGTCCACTGCCATCCCCTTATGTATGTGGCAGAGGTGTCCACTTACACAGACAGCCTCTGACCTCCACAAACAAGTACTGAGAAGCCTCCAAAGGAACCCTCTCAACTGACATTGCAGGTTACAACAAGTGCCATGAACATGTTGTTGTTGGATTGTAGTTGTTGTTTTTGTTGTAGGCCAACCCAACCACTACAACCCATCACGCAAGGAATGCTTTAATTCCGAGACAATTTCATCCTAGATTTGACGCGTTTCCTCCACCAGATACGGGCATCCCAGGGTTCCTTTTGTGGAATCTGCATGACCCCACACACTGCATCTCCCTTAACCCTTTCCCACCTTTTCCTATAACAAACAGCAAACACAGAGGAATTGATCAGCAACAGACTGGAGGGGCTGGGGAATCCCAAGTTTGGAAGTCTATCACGATGCAGTTCAAATCCAAAGATTGTTGGAAATACAGTATACGGAGAAAAAAATGGGTAAATATGGAGAAGTTAATACATAATATTAAAGGAAAAGAAATAATATTTAGGGAATGGAAGAGGAGAGAAGAAACAGAAATTAAGGAACCCTTTAAAGCAGTGTTTCTCAACCTGGGGGTCGGGACCCCTGAGGGAGTCGCAAGGGAGTGTGAGAAAACAGTATTTTCTGTTGGTCATGGGCATTCTGTGTGGGAAGTTTGGTCCAATTCTATCATTGGTGGGGTTCAGAATGCTCTCTGGTTGTAGGTGAACTATAAATCCAGCAACTACAACTCCCAAATGTCAAGGTCTATTTTCCCCAAACTCTACTAGTGTTCACATTTGGGCATATTGAGGATTAGTGCCAAGTTTTGTCCAGATCCATCATTGTTTGAGTCCACAGTGCTCTCCGGATATAGGTGAACTACAACTCCAAAACTCAAGGTCAATGCCCACCAAACCCTTCCAGTATTTTCTGTTGGTCAGAGGAGTTCTGTGTGCCACGTTTAGTTCAATTCCATCGTTGGTGGAGTTCAGAATGCTCTTTGATTGTAGGTGAACTATAAATCCCAGCAACTGGACCAAACTTGGCACACAGACCCAACATGGCCAACTTTGAATAATGGCAGGGCTTGAAAAGGATTGACCCACGGTTCTGGGAATTGTAGTTCACCTACATCCTTACGCATTTTCTATTGGGAGCATTCATAAAAAACAAAAGGAAAGACTGTCTTTTTTCTAATAAATACCATTACACATTACCAAACTTCCCAAAATAAACAATGCATTTCTCAAATAACCTGGGCATCGCCGCGTCCCCATGCTAGTTTAACTATAAAAATAAAAATATGGACTTATGTGTGTGTTTGGACCTCGAGGGATACTACGTGACAAAATGGTCATGTGGCCATTGGCATGACTGCATAGAGCGCCGTTACCTTCCCGCAGAAGCAGTACCTATTGATCTATTCACATTTGCATGATTTCGAACTGCTAGGTTGGCAAAAGCTGGGGCTAGCAGTGGGAGCTCACCCCACTCCCCAGATTCAAACTGCTGACCTTTTGGTCAGCAACTTCAGCAACTGAGTGGTTCAATTTATTATTTATTATTTATTTACCTTACTTATATACCGCTGTTCTCAGCCCGAAGGCGACTCACAGTGGTTCACAACAAATACGAACAGCAAAAACTCAGTGCTACAGTATAGAAACAGTTAACAACCTAACACATTACACAATTAATAAACAGTTACTACAATACCCATTCACTGTCGTCTCGTCATCAAAAACATGTTCCAGATTCGTCATCCATTGTTCCATTCCAGTGTTCATTAATCAATCATTGCACTAATTATTGGAACGCCTGCTCAAACAGCCAGGTCTTCACTTTTTTGCGGAATACCATTAGAAATGGTGCTAGTCTAATGTCCGTAGAAAGGGCGTTCCACAGCCGAGGACCACCACCGAGAAGGCCCTATCTCTCGTCCCCGCCAGCCAAGCTTGAGAAGCAGGCGGGATCGAGAGCAGGGTCTCCCTGGAAGATCTCAAAGTCACTGCCCATTTGTTATCCAAACTGAATTGCTGTCAGGGTTTGCCATTTTAAAATATCTGCAACAATAAATCTGTCCGCAAAAGCTGCTGATGTGTAAAATCGGTATTTAGCAACCTCGTGCTTTTAATTTAGAATCAGTTTAAGGACCATGGAAACTGTAGTTTATTTCCCTATGCAAGTCACACTCTTTCAGCCTCAGAGGATACCATACATCTGACAAATCTCACATGATAACCCTGTGGCAGGTTTGCCTTGGGGTTACCGTACGTAGGAAATGACTCAAAGCTCCGCGACAGAAACAATTAGTATTTTGCACATCTCCTAAATTATACTCCTATGCATCCTTCCTCCCACACAAACACACACTTGGACATCAACAAGAAGACATACTGTTGATTTACTCAGACGTTGGGCAAAGTCAGGCAGCTGTTGTAACTCACACCCTTCAAATGGCAAAAAGAAGGCTTGCTTTTGAAATTTTTAAAGCAAATATTTTCGAGCCATGGATGGTTGAATCTTATGGATACAGACTGCATTAGCAACTACAGCTTTAGGAAGGAAGGTGATGCATAAGGCATTGATTCCACCTGGAAATGCCTGAATAATCATAGATTTACCTGGGTATTATTTCCCATAATGACAAAACCTATGTATGTAATTGGAAAAGATGGGGTTCTGGTTGCTCGCTGTACACAGAATGGTTACACCTTAATAATAATAATAATAATAATAATAATAATAATAATAATAATAATAGAGTAAAATAATGCAAATGTAATAATAATAATAGATAATAGAGTAAAATAATGCAAATGTAATAAAAATAATAGAGTAAAATAATAAATGTAATAATAAAATAGAGTAAAATAATAAACATAATAAAAATAGAATAAATGTAATAAAAGTAGAGTAAAATAATGCAAATGTAATAAAAATAATAGAGTAAAATAATAAATGTAATAATAAAATAGAGTAAAATAATGCAAATGTAATAATAGAGTAAAATTATAAATGTAGCGAAAATAGAATAAATGTAATAAAAATAATACAGTAAAATAATGCAAATGTAAGAATAATAGACTAAAATAATAAATGTAATAATAAAATAGAGTAAAATAACAAACATAATAAAAATAGAATAAATGTAATAAAAATAGAGTAAAATTATAACCGTAATGAAAATAGAATAAATGTAATAAAAATAATAGAAAAAAATAATGTACATGTAATAATAATAATAGAGTAAATTAATAAACGTAATAATAATAGATTAAATGTAGTAAAAATAATAGAGTAAAATAATGCAAATGTAATAAAAATAATAGAGTAAAATAATAAATATAATAATAAAATAGAGTAAAATAATAAACATAATAAAAATAGAATAAATGTAATAAAAATAGAGTAAAATAATACAAAAGTAATAATAGAGTAAAATTATAAATGTAATGAAAGTAGAATAAATGTAATAAAAATAATAGAGTAAAATAATGTAAATGTAATAAAAATAATAGAGTAAAATAATAAATGTAATGGTAATAGAATAAATGTAATAAAAATAATAGAGTAAAATAATGCAAATGTAATAATAATAAAATAATAAATGTAATGATAATAGAATAAATGTAATAAAAATAATAGAGGAAAATAATGCAAATGTAATAATAGTAATAGAGTAAAATAATAAATGTAATAATAATAGAGTAAAATAATAAATGTAATAATATAATAAATGTAATAAAAATAATAGAGTAAAATAATGCAAATGTAATAATAATAATATGTGTAAAATGTAGTAGTAATAATAACAGAGTAAAATAATAAATATAACGATAATAGAATAAATGTAATAAAAATAATAGAGTAAAATAATGTATATGTAATAATAATAATAGAGTAAAATAATAAATGTAATAATATAATAAATGTAATAAAAATAATAGAGTAAAATAATGTAAATGTAATAATAGTAATAATAACAATAATAAATAGAGTAAACTAAAAATATAATCAAAATAATAACAATAACCCAGTAAAATAATAAATAATACTGAGTCGAATATATGCTGAGGGGGGCTTTTTCAGCCCTAAAAAAGGGCTGAAAAACTTGGCTTATACTCGAGTATATACAGTAATTTGTTTTGTTTCTTCCCTTTTCTGGAATGTTGATATTTATCCCCATCAGTGCAAAAGTAACCCTTATTTTTACGTTTATTATCATGCCAACGATTTTCACAATGAACGAATACATTCATTCTCTCTGCTCTGCTCTTGCACAGACAGAGACAAATTTTGCATTGAGTCCCTGTTAAGTAAATAAAATGAAAAACAAACAACTTTCATACTCAAGATACAAAGCCAGCTCGATTATTTCAGTTTCTATTTGGCCTGAAGGCAAAAAACAACCTCATTTGTAATTTAAACTAATCAGAAGCACATATTTCAAAGACACGTAGTCCCACTTTGGCTCATTGGACACGGTTCCATTTTGCACATGCAAAGAATATACCGTATATACTCGAGTATAAGCCTACCCGAATATAAGCCGAGAACGTAATTTTATCGCAAAAAACTGGGAAAACGTATTGACCCGAGTATAAGCCGAGGGTGGGAAATGCAGCCGCTACTGGTAAATTTCAAAATAAAGATAGGTACCAATAAAATTATATTAATTGAGGGATCAGTAGCTTAAATGTTTT